ACCAGAAACAATAATGTTATAATCTAAATGTGGTGGCCCCTCTATCATTAATATAGAAAAGAATTTGTTATAAAACTGCACATATCTTTTCCATTTTTCATCCATTTGTTGACTTTTCATTTCTGTCTTTAGATGGTCTCAGAATGATTTTGCTTAATTGGTTTTCTGACCAAACTTCTTTAAACTTCTAATTAAACTTTTGCAAACTTGTTTTTCATGATCATTGCATTAGAATTCTTTAAAGCTGAAAGATACTTAAGAGATAAGCTAGTCTAAGCCCCTCATTTTACTGAAGAAACTAGTGGCAAGAATGGAATTGCAGTCAAGAAACCTGGGTACAAGTTCATGACTGTTTCCACTATATTATAATAGTAATTGTTTCTCATTTTTTCATGAGATCATATTTAAATTTAGGGCTTTTTTTGTTTCATTCCTTGTAGTGCCAGAACCTACTAAGACCAGTTCAAGCCAGCCCCAACCTGCTGGTATCAGTACCAGTACTTCCACCAGCACTATCACCAATAGCAGCAATGGCAAACGTGCATCTGCCAATGGCCAGCAGCCAGCTGCGTCCCGTTACCTGCCTCGTGAGGTGCCTCCACGTTTCCGCCAGCAAGAACAGAAGCAGCTATTAAAAAGAGGTCAGCCATTACCTCCTGGGACTCTTACCACTGTAAGCCCAGCACAAGGTACTGGACAAGCAGGGGCAAGTCCTCCTCCTCTAACAGGAGCAGGTGGACAGCATCATCCAAGTAAACTTCAATCAGGTAAGTTTTTTATATAACAGAACATTCTGATAATTTCAGATGAGCCTTTATACTTTTTGCCGCATAATGTAATAAATAAACATAATATTTTGTATTATGTGAGTCTTGGAAAATTGTATAAACATTGTTTTTCTGTTTACTCGAATGATAATTTCAGCTTATCTTCACTTTTTATTTACCTTCAATTAGCTATGGCTAAATGTTTGAGTTTTTATACTTTTTATTCTATGCCTCCACGCCCCACTAAAATACTTAACTACAAACCATAATCTCATTGTAATTTATATACTCTATAAATTGAATTAAGTAGTAGAAATATAATGTGACCTACATTAGCCTTAGTTTACAAAGTAAACAAGAAACTGAATAAAGAAATTAACAGCTGTGTTTTTTTATGGTGTCGACAATATGATAGCAATAGTTAAGTCTAATAGGCCCTGAATTTTAAGTATGTTGATAGCTTAGTAGTCACACAGAAACGTGGAAGAAATTTTTTTTGTCATATCTCATGTAAGATTTCTTTAAATTTGTGTTTCAAATGAGAAACAGAAGTCTTAAGGCAATCATATTTTAGCTGTGCAAAAGATATTTTAAATTATTTTTAAAATTAATTAATTTCCAATAAACTTTAAAACATGTTTTGGCGTTTTAATGTCTATTAACCAAAGAAAAAAATATACTTGTTCCTGACCAAGTTAAACTTTTAAATAATTTGTATAGTAAGGAACTTGGGTTTTTTTCCATTTTTACTTCAGTAGTCTATATATTCAGAGCAATATAGAAATTATTGACTAGCAGTCAGTAGTTTTGTTGTAAAATTTTGCATATTCATTTTAGGACCTATAAAGAATTTTGTTAGTTACTGGGCTTATAGAAAAAAATAAATTTATTAGCATTCAGTTCAGCATTTATCAAGTACTGACTATATGCAGTGTACTGTGCTAGGCTCTGGGAATATATGAAATTATCTAGTCCTTCCTGTCCTTGATAAGCAAGTATGTACACTGTAATAAATAACTATGATACAGGTTATAAGTTCAAATAGAGTGGCATAAAAAATTCAAGATGAGACAAACTGTGGTGGGTTAATGGAAAACTTTTTAGATGTGACACGAGTTGGGTCTTGAAGGGAGGAAAGTAGATGGAGGGAAAAGACCTTTTAACCCCCACCAAAGCAAATGCTAAGAATGGTAGAGCAAAAGTTAGGGTGGTCTTTAGTCCATTTTGGCTAAAACATCCAGTGTGTCCAATAGGAGTAATATTTGATAAGCCTGGAAAGGTAGGTTCAAGCCAGATTGTGGGAGTCCTTGAATGCCAGACTAAAGAATTTGCATTTTATGTAGTAAGCAGTGAGGATCCCACAGAAGTTCTTAGGACAAGGAATTGATGTCACTGTACTTTGAATTACTCAGGTGGTAACGCTAAGGTTGGCTTTGGAAATAGAGAAAGGCTGAAAGTGGAGAGATCAGTTAGAATGCTGTCATAGAAGTCAAGGGGAAAGAAGTTGAGAGCCTAAACACAGAGGCAGTACCACTTCTTTGGTTTTCTAAAATAATAGTAGTTAATGAGAAGATACAAAGTGATTCGTTTTTTTCCCTACAGTCTTCTAATGCAAGCTTATTTTCATCAAGCTTATGAATGTATATGCTGTGCTCAATCTAAAGTAATTGTCATGTTTTTCCTTGTCATTTGTTCCCTTTGCATAGGCCTTAAATGTGAGGCACACTGATAAAGACATTAATCTTTACACCTAAATCCTGCTCCTTGTTTGCTTTTTTCCCCCTAGTATATCCTACCAATCAGTTAGTAGGCATTTATTTAGCAAGGACAATCTGCCAGGCACTGTGCTGGAGATTCAAAGAAAAAGGAAAAACGGTCTCTGCCATCAGAGATAAATTGAAAAAAAAATTTAAACAAGTATGGAGACAGCCAATGAAAAGGCATAGAGATGGAATATCATGTGAGGCAAGCAGAAAGTAGGCCAATGTAGTTAAACTTTAGGTTGTGTGGAGGAGAAATCATGTGGAAAAAGACTAGAAAAATAGGAAAGAGCCAGAATGTGAAAAGCTTTAAATGCCAAACAAAGTTTATTTGCTCTTATACATAAGAGAAAGTTAATAGAGTGGATGTCATGGACGTGTCTATGCTATAGGAAAACTATTTTGGTAGCTGAGTGGAGAATGGATTGGCATGAGTTGGGACAAGGTAGGGAGTACAGTTAGAGGATTGTTAAAAGAGTCTATCCAAGAGGTAATGAGGGCCTGAACTAGAATAATAGCCTTATAAAAAGTAGAAAGGTTCCACTAAAGACTTTGATCAACAGAAGAGAAGGAAAACAAATCAATGGTCATGCAATTAAAAACTAAAAGAGCAACAAATCAACAAATTCAACTAAACACAAAAATAGCGATCTTGAAAATAAAGGAGAGAGAAAAATGAAAACAAAAAGCCCATTTACTTGATAAAACCAATAAAGCAAATAAACCATTAACTGATATAATTTAAAAAGAGGAAAACCAAATTACCAATATCAAAAATGAAAAAAGGTGAATTTAAAACAGAGGAAAAAGAAATAAAGAAAGCAATTTGAATAACCCCGTCTCAAAAAAAGGAATAATTCGCTAAGAGGATGGGAGTGTGGGGGTAGGTGAGGGACCAAGATCAGATGGATATAGAAGAAAATTCTATCAAATGTACAAAGAAAAATTGATTCCGTTATTACATGCTTTTTTAAAAAAAAATAGGAAAAAAAACAATTCAACAAATTCCTTCTATCAAATATTGTCAGTACCTAAAAGAGGAAGAGCCAAAGCAGAAAAAGAATAAAATAGACCCATTTCACTAATGAATGTCAAGGAAAAATAATGAATAACTATTAACAAAATTAATATAAGAACATGTTTTTAAATTACCCACTATGTTCTGGTTGAATTTATACCAAGAGCACAAGAATGAGTCAATATTAAAAAAATTATAAAATAGACCACATTGATAACCAAAACTGTTAAAAATGACAATTATCAATATATGCAGAAAGATTTTTCAAAAATACAATGGTCATTTTACATATTTCTTAAACATGAAAAACCCTAAGAATGGACTTTTCCTTACTATGGTAAATGGTGTCTCTTTAACACCAAAAGCATATATTGTCTATAATGGAGATGTATACTGGAGTCCTTTCTACTAAGAACAGGACTGAAGCAAGAATGGCCATTGTCACCCCATCTTGTATATTTCTCAAAATGCTAAAATAGCCAGAAAAAGAAATATAAATTGAGAGAATAAGTTAGATAAAGAGCAAAATAGTCACATCATTTTTATAGTTTACTTACAGAACCATGGGGATTTAACTAAAGATAATTGAAACAACTTGTGATTTACTTAAGGTAATAAGATTTTTTCAGTCTGTATACAAAAAAAAACCAAAACCAGGAAGTGATAGAAAAGGGAATTCCATTCAAAAAAATTATAGAATGTGTAAAGTATTTGGAAGTCTACCTATGAAGACACCCAGAAGAGTCATATAAATACTGCTACAAATCACTCTTTACAGAAATAAAGACAGACAAATATTTGGAAGTATTAATTTTTCATGTTTGGGCTGTGCCTATACTCCACAGAGCTACCAAATCAATATTTCTAGAACTCCAGTCACTCCTACTTGGTTTAAGGATAACAAACTTCTCTGTTTAGCTTTTAAAGCCTTTCACAGTCTGGCTCCAACCCAGTTTTCCCTCATAAACTCTGTATTGCAGCAACAGCCATCTTGCTGTTATCTATACACAGTATTCTGTCTTTATTCTCCATAGCTTTGCACAGGCTGTTTCCCATTTGAGAGGCAGCTGGTTGTGCAGAGTAGTGGGCCTGGAGTCAGGAAGACCTGAAATCAAATCCAGCCTCAGACACATAATGGCTGTGAGACCCTAGGCAAATTACTTAACCTCTGTTTGCCCCAGCTTCTTCAACTTTAAAATGGGGATAATAGCTTCTACCTTACAGGTCATTGCTATGAGGATCAATAATATTTGCAAAAAGCACAGTGTCTGGCACATAGTGGGTATAATATAAATGCTTATCATTCCCATTCCTACTTTCATGCCTGTAATACACTGTCTTTTCACTTACACCTTGTAGAATCCCTAACTTCTGGAAAACTCAGTTCAAGTATTACTTCCTACAATAAGCCTGTACTGATCCCCCAGATACTAGTGTCCTTTTCCTGAAAATTACCAAAAATTTATCTAAATATCTTAAACCTACAACTAAATTATAAACTCCTTTGAAAACCACTTATCCCCAGATTCTTTTAATTGAGAAAGAGTTCTGTATTATTGGTTTAATGATTTCCAGGAATGAGCTACTTAAAAATATTTGAAACTTAAGTGCATTTTACTCAGTTACGTAGACAAGTCTCAAGTTATGGATGTGCAAGGATCACTTAATTTTAAACTTATGTTAAATTAAACATAGCAGTTTTAAATTTTCATTCTCATTTCATTGTTCCTTAGATAATAAGCAAAGAATTGCTCATCAAAGAAATGGATTTCTAAGTCATTGAAGTCCAGTGATGAGACAAAAGTCAAGATTGATGAAGAATTATTCACCTTTAAAGATAGCTGTATTTGAAGATAATTTGAATTATCTACAAATATTGCCTACATAATCATTCACATTGAAAGTTTGCATTTTTCTGATTACTTTATTAAAAATCTTTTAAAACTCTACATCTTTTAAAAGTAGGTCTATTGAAATTTGGCTCCATAAATTAGTGTCTCTTCCTGTTTTTTGGTTTAATGATTCCTGTTTTTTGTTCAAATAATGCTTATATCATCACTGAAGGTGATGTTATAAAGAAAGATGATGTTTAAGAATTATAGTGTGTGCTTATATTTTTTTTCTGTTTCCCAAAATATGATTAAAATTGCTGGAAGATAACTAGGCAGAGGTCCTAGAGTAGAAAATACATGGACTGAACTGGATAAAAATCAAATATGTAA